AAATTAAATTGCCATCAGTGTTGCAGTATCTGAGAAATTAGTCTTGATTCCCTCGTGGTGTTAAGCCCCAAGTCACTGCGACAGTCCTTATGCCGCTCAGAGCACCTTGTGGTGCATACTACTAGATAATTTGTCTTGTCAGGACTCAGGGTTGTTTGTGCTGGTAACAGGAAATACTTTTTTTTTTTTTTGCTCACTGAGTGCTACTTGTGTGCTGACGTGTTCTTCGTCTTCTTCTCTGTCCCACTGTTTGCCTAGATAACCAGTTCAGAATGTCTATCCTGGAGCGCTTGGAGCAGATGGAGAGGAGGATGGCGGAGATGGCCAGCCACCAGCAGCCGAGCAGTGCAGGGAGTGGCGGAGCTGGGGGAGGGACAGGAGGGACAGGGGGAGGTGGCGGAGGAGGTGGAGGAGGCGGGGGCAACAACAGCCAGTCACAGGTAAAAGGCAACATCATGTTACTCATGTTTTCAGCGTTAAGACAACATTTTATGTGTCAGTGCACGACATGCACATTGTCATAATAATAACTTGCTCCTTTGGTATGTGAAGTGTGTGACTGGCCAGATTCAAGCAGGCAGCTCTTTTGAGAGCCGCGTCGTGGTGGTCTGTGAGAAGATGATGAGCAGAGCTTGCTGGGCCAAGTCCAAACATTTAATCCACTCTAAGACCTTCCGAGGCATGACACTCCTTCACCTGGCTGCCGGCCAGGGATACGCCACCCTCATCCAGACACTCATCAAGTGGCGGTGAGAACCAATCTGCTCTAGATACTCTATAATGGTGCATTGGTTTGTAATTGGTGTGCACCACACCGAATGGCAATGCATTGCTGATTGTTTTCTCTCCTCCATACAGCACTAAGCATGCTGATAGTATTGATTTAGAGTTAGAAGTGGACCCTCTGAATGTGGATCACTTCTCCTGCACACCTCTGGTAAGTGAGCATCTTTTAGCACCACATGAAGATGAAAATGTTTTCCTAATCTAAACTTACTTGTCTAATTTCAATTTCTCTGCCTTTTCTTATCCATCTGTTTTCCATCCAGATGTGGGCGTGTGCCCTGGGTCACCTGGAGGCAGCAGTGGTCCTGTACAAATGGGACAGACGTGCCCTCGCTATCCCAGATTCTCTCGGCCGCTTACCCCTGTCGATCGCCCGCTCTCGTGGCCACACCAAATTGGCTGAATGTCTGGAGCAGCTACAGAGGGAAGAGCAGCAGGCTCCAGCCCCTCTACCACCCACAACTCGCATGTCCTTCTCCCCGGGCCCAGATGCCCCCACCACAGACAGCTGGATGGTCAGCTGGGCAAACGACAGTGTAGTCGCCCCCAGCAGCAAGAAAGGAGGTCCTGCCACCACTACAACCACATCCAGCACCACCAGCCTCAACCCGGGTCAGTAGATTTTCTTTTTTCTCGTTTCTAACACTTAGAAGAAAAGCGTTTCACCCAATGGTTCCATGTTTTGTTTATTGCAGACCTGAGAAGGCCCAGGTCAGAGCCTTCCAACTACTACAGCAGCGAGGGCCAAAGAGACCTCCCACTAGCTAAAAAACATAAACCCAACCCAGAACTCTCTCAGACGCGGCCTGATAAGGCCATGTCTGTTCCTCTGAGCCTGGAGCAGCAACAGCTCCACAAGCTGTCCTCTAGTCCCAAAAGCCTGTCCTCAGAGGGCCTGAGCTCAGACAAGAGCCTGTCTACAGGAGGCTGCACGGGGACAGTCAGATGGACCTCGAGAGAGAGTTTCTCCAGCAGCGGCTTGGGGAGGAAGACCCTGGGGGTCGGTGGAGGCAGCAGCCTTGGGAAGGAGAAACTGGTCAACCGGTTGCGTCAGCGAGAGCAGCTCGGCATGCTCGTGATGGCAGACAGAGAAATGGCTGATGCAGAACTGTTATCCTATCGGGAAGATCTGGAGAACCAGGACTGTCTCACACAGATGGATGACCTACAGGTGATTAAACAACAAAAACAACAACGGTGTACGTGGTCAGCTAAATGTGCAGCACCTGGCACCAGCAGTGCCAAAGAATTAATTTGGGCCAGGAGCATTTTGCTTGTGATGTAAAAGCCTGCACCGCTGAAATGGACTGCCACAATACAGCAGCAGAAATGTCAGCAGAAATGTCATGGTTTGGAACAAAAGCATCAGGCAGAAAAGTGGCAATGTTAACTGATCTTCACACTTAGTTAGTGAAAAAGAAAAGGAACAAGCCTTTCAATACAAATACACATCATACATTTTGCTTATAAAGCATTTGTTCTATTAGATGGAGGCTGTTGTAAGAGCTGCACAGTCACCAGTGAAGAATGAATGACATTTGATTTTGACAGTACCATGCCATCTCTATTATGTCCGCCTTCTCTACTGGGTAGGCAAAGTGCACCAGGCCAACCTGACACTTAGTAACGACCATCACATTGAAATGAACTCTCTCTATTGATCCATGTCCATAACCTGGGAATTCTTCCAGTCGTCTTTCTCTGTCTAACTTGTCCTTCAAGAGATGTGCTAAGTGCTGGGTTAAGTCATTCCCGGTTACATCGCCTGCTTTTCTCAGTCATCTTTGTTTGCCTCAACCGAACAGGTGAACATGATGACTCTGGCTGAGCACATCATCGAGGCAACGCCGGAGAGAATCAAGAGGGAGAACTTCACCGCTGCAGAGTCTGTGCCCTTAGACACGTCGGGGGTCAGCAACACCATGAACTGGCTGGCCAACTACCTGGGAGATGTGGAACAGCTGCCGAGCATCATACACCTGCGGTAAGGAGCAGGGGGCAGCAGATATCCATATTGAAATGACAGTGTGTGTGTGTGTGTGTGCATAGTATGAGTTCCCCTTCGCTGCAGAGGTATTTATTTTTTATCAGTGATTTGTGACACCGTGCTATTTTCCAAAAGTGTTGCTGAATTTTGGAATAAAATGGGTGGAGAAGCATACGTGTAAAGTAACCAGGTGTAGTGTACGATTGGAAGTTCACAACCTGCAGCTCTCCTCCAGTAACAACTGAATTGAACACATCTGTCTGTGTCTTTTTTCCAGATCTCTTTATAATGAACCCCTGACCCCATCGTCCAACACCAGCCTCAGTCCTGGCGGGTCTCCGCTCAGAGAGACGCCCCTGGAGCGGTCCACACTCCCGTCCCCGGCTGACTGGAGTGAGTTCATCAATGCCTCCAACAGCAAGGTGGAGCGAGACCTGGCCCAGCTGACTCTGTCCGACCCAGAGCAGAGAGAGCTGTATGAGGCCGCCCGCCTCGTCCAAACTGCCTTCCGCAAGTACAAGGTACAGGCCTGGCTCTGGTGCCGAATGCTGTGTGTACTGCAGTCCACAGTGGCAGGGCTGTGCTGTTCGATGGTTTCTTTTGGGGCCTTCTGGGGAGATGTTGAAAGGTTCAATAGAGTTCTGGTTTTAGCAGGAAAGGTTGTGATACGTCTGGAGATTTACTAATTTAATTCTCACATTTCTCTATCTCTGTCTCATTCTCTGTTTCTCTGATCACATGCACACGCCAACATTAACAAAGACAGATACAGATATGTCCCTGTGGTTTCAGCATGGGAAGGTGGCTTGAGCAGAGCATGGCCTTGCTTAGAGGAACGATGCATTGCCCCCTGAACCCCTGCTCCAAATAGACACAATTAAGTTTATGTTCTCTTCCCTCTGTCTCTTCCCTCTCTCTCGTCTCTAACTTACTTGTTTGGAGCCTGCTACTGCCTGTTTATAACTAGCTCTCCACACACCAGTCCCTCTCCCCCTGCCCGATCCCATTCCTCAACTTGCTACCCAACCTCCCAAAGCTACATCAGAGTTCATATGACAAACTTTTTGCTGTTGTTTACAGTCGTCTGTTGTGTCAGGTGATACTGAGGTAGACCTTCGGTTCCCTGTCGCTCCACAGCTTACCTCCTTCTCCCCACTGTCCAGTTCACCAGGTGTGGACTCATTCCAAGCTGGCATTCATTTGCCAGCCCACCGGGAGACCTCAGCGAGACTTGACAGAGCAACAAATTTCCTTTGTGGCGAAATGCAGGTTCTACTGTGACCTCTGACCTATTACGCTTTACTCTCCAACAGGGACGGCCGCTCCGAGAGCAACAGGAAGTAGCTGCTGCTGTTATTCAACGTTGTTACAAGAAATACAAACAGGTAGGGACCACAAAGTGCTGAGCGAGAACATCTAAGTCAAATCAATGACTCTCAATACAGAGTTTTGGTGAACATCAGTGCATCATTCACAATCTTTCCCTTTTCTGTTTGCAAGCTAACATGGATAGCCTTGAAGGTAAATTATTCTCCCTACCAGCAGTTGAATTCTTTGCCAAACCTTCAGATTGTGATCCTCTACTGCAGCGGGATCCCGTAGCGCCACTGCAGTGTTCACACACACACAGCGAAGCACGTCACATTGTTTTGTTCTCGTCAACAGTATGCACTATATAAGAAGATGACGCAGGCCGCCATCCTTATCCAGAGTAAATTTCGCAGCTACCACGAACAGAAGAAGTTCCAGCAGAGCAGGAGGGCGGCTGTGCTCATTCAGCAATACTACCGCAGCTACAAGGAGTTTGGGAGGCTGAAGCCCCACCACCGCGGGGCAGCTGCTGCCCTGGTGCAGCACAAACTGAGGTACATCCTGAAAACACTGCAATGTTATCATCCTGCTAGAAACAGTAGGTTAATGAAGGAGCCACTTCATCACGCTGCCTGTTCCAAAATGAACTGCAGTAGTTAGGTTATTGGAATTGATGAAGCAGAAGTTAGGACTTAATCACATATTAATTTCTTCCTATTTCTTTTTTTTAGACATAATTTATGTCTTTTAAACATTTTTGTTAAAGTTCACGTTCGTTGTGCCATTTTCTTACTTGCATGTATTAATAATTACATTTTATTCTAAACCTTAACCCAACCATTAATGTGATTTCATTCTGCCGCTATAGTTATAGTTAACTATAATATAGTTGAGCTTTTTCATCATTTTTGTTGAAGCCTCCGATGTGCGAGTGCTCGGTAAAGACTCTCAAGTTAATAAACAGTGTCTGGTTATCAATAACTACTATATTCTGTTCTGCAGTAGAACTGTCAGCATCATATTAACATGAATACGTGGCTCTGTGGTGTTTTTATAGAGGTAGTCTGCTCACAAAGAGGCAGGATCAGGCTGCCAGGAAGATCATGAGGTTCCTCCGTCGCTGTCGCCACAGGTAGACCCCGACACTGAAACACACCCTGACACACTCACATACACACGCACAAGATTTAACATAGACGCAGCAGAACCTCAGCGGTGGGTTCATGGTCTAAAGGAATAATGTCCCACTGAGCTAATCAGTAAGACACAGTAGAGACTTCATAACTTTGTCCAACTTTCCTCTTTGCTCGGTGTCATGTGTTTTTCTAATTTACTTTTCTAAATTGGGTTAGAAATGTCTTCCAACACCATAGCTCCACCTCCCTCCCCCCCTCTCACTGTATTTGGACCCCCACCTGTCCTTGCCCCCTCCCTCACAGTGCCTACTGTGTGCTAATAGCTCTCTGGTATTGTTTTGCTGTTTATGCCAAGCCCCTTGATGGACCATAGACTGTTCAAGCGGGTGAGTGCAGCCTCAGCAACTCAGTTCGTGCCTCTCTCTCTCTTTCTCTCTCGCTCTCTCACTCTCTCGCTCTCTCACTCTATCTCTCCCTCTTTCTCCCTCTCGGCTCTTTTTTTCACTTTCCCTCTCTAATAATACTGTTATTTCCTCCTGTCTCGACCTTTGCATTCTCTCCTTCCTTCCCTCTCTCTGATTTCCTCCCTTTCTTCCCCTCTCTCTTTCTCTCTCCCACCCCTCCACCCAATCTGCCTCCTTCTCCATCACTGTTGCTTGATGCCTGCTTGCATGAAGGGCTGCCGACTGGAGCCACAGGTGGACTGAGACGCTCAGATTTAGAGCAGAACCGATCTCGAACTAACAAAATGCTTATGAATGACGATGTCACTGCAACACTTAACAGGCTCTTCTCTCTGACTCTCTTTTATCTCTGTCTTCTTCTCCTTGGAAATGACTTTGTGTTCATGACGGTTTCTTCCTTGAGTTTTCTTTTGATTTTTGTTTTTTTGTGTGGTTATGCAGATGATAGCCAGTTAAAGAGAGCGGGAGGCTTTTTCTCAATCATGTTTTTTATTCTGCTGCATGTCAAGTGGTGACAACTCTGGGCCTTGCTCCTCTACCTTTAGGCATGCTATGGGCCTGCTGTTTCTCAACTAGATGTCTGTCTGTCTGACTGGCCTTGTGTCCTGTTTCTAGCCACTCAACAGACTGAGAGGGGAACCTGTCCCCGCTGTCTTCCATATGCTAAAGCCATGTCCAACTGTTGAATGCTATTTGCCCTTTGGTTCATCAAAACAAAGCAAATTAGAAGTAAAGCACAAACATTTGATCCTCACAAACCTTTAGCCTCCCTGACGTTCAGGCTACATGTTTAACTCTGTTGTTTACTGTCTTAAATTAGGACACAGGGTCTTTAGAGCATTGTTGAAATACCAACTCTAATTCAGGCTTGTCTGCTATAGTGTGATAACACAGTAGGTTAGGAAGCTGTGATAGCATATAGGTCACAGTGGAAAAACAAACAATAGGTTCCTTCACCCCCCCCAGGACTACATCACTGAGCCCTAATGGATTCATTCCTCCAGGGAGTACACCAGTTCTGCACGAGAGGATGCAGACACACACACACACACACACACACACACACACACACACACACACACACTCATCTGCCTCTCTTCAGTACATAAATGTTTCAGTATTGACCTTCGACTAAGAACTGCCAGAGTTTGTTAAAATCTATTTTTTAGAGTAAAGAGTGTTGTCACACTCTGCTCATACTCTGCTCCTCTGTGAACTCACTCAAATCTTGTTTGCATAGCTCATAACCACAAATCAGTTTGCCTCACAGGTTTAACCCTCGTACAAAAGTGAAACTCGAAAAACTCCCCAAAAAAACTTTTTGACAGGGAAAAAATAAGTATAAACCTCAGGAAGAGTCACAAGTGAGCGATCCCTCTCCCAGGACAGACAGAAGTACAATAGATGTGTCACAGAGTGATTCTAACTGCATTTCAAAAAATGTTTAGGGCTTCAAGGTAAAATGATACTAATGTAGAATAACTGTGATTATAAGAGCTATAATAGGAATAAACAGTTAAAATTACACTCACTTCATGAAATGATTGCTTGTCCTTATTTTGCCGCTAAAATGTAATTTATCCTTCATGTAATAAGTTAATACAGTAATGATTTTGTAACTGTGCTATAATGATGATCATAATCCCTTTTGTCCAGTTTAATCCTGACCAACGTTTCCTTTCACAGAGCAGCCGTAGTTCCTGTTGTTCTGGGCTGACTTGATATTGTTCTGATAGTTCTGGCTGAGTCGTGAGATATTGTGTGTATGTGTGTTGTGTGTGTGTGTGATGAGCTTGTTACTCAAGTTGTGGCCGTCATATTTTGCTGACACCCATCTCCTCTCCCTGTGTTCCAGGGTGAAAGAATTGAAAAGGGCCAGGGAACATGAGACCCCTCAGAAGAGCCCCCTCGCGATGTGACATCACTCTCCTGACTCCTCTTTTTCTTTTTTCGTTTGTACCCAAGACATTTTACAAGAGAAATGGAAAAAAAACATCAATGCAAGCACTGCAATTATTACTACTTCTGCAGTGTTACTGGTTCAACTACTCTTACATGTACAACAGCATTTTTCACATATCTTTTCTCTCCACTGACTTGATTTTGGTCAGAGAGTGGCAACTTCTATGGGATTATAAACTCTAAGGGTCGGGGTGGGGGGGGCTTGCTGAACATTTGCTTCATGGCATTTTTTGCACTTTTTCGTGGATTGCTTTGTCTTTTTTTTTGGACGTGAAGAGGTTTTTGGACGAGAAGAGGAAGCGAACGCGGGACATGTCCGAGGAGGTCTGTCACGCGCGAGGACCTGAAGAGAGACGTAAATCACGGCTGCTGCAGAAGATCTCAGAGGTTGGGGAGACCACGCAGAAACACTCTGGGCTCTAATCGTATTTCATATTTTTTTAAGTGACCAATCATTCGAGGACGGATTTTTTTCAACCAAATATATTGGTAACCCACGCGCTCATTTCTACCACTGCTGTAGATGATGATATTCAATTTAGCTCCACAGTTCCTCCTGTCCGACTGTGCTCTACCCCACCAGTCTGCCCACACGGGTGGAGCTACAAATGAATGTAGTCCGGGGTTTGACCATGCAGATGCACATGGGGAATAAAATATTTCTGTTTTGCCATTTCTTAAAAAAACCCTATGCTTTATCGTATATATTGTCACTTTATTACTTGAATTTGCTCCATACTGTCCGATGTATTTGTTCCATCACGTCTAATGTATTGATGATCTGTATCTTCAGACTCTATGTTGTTGAATCCTACCAAGAAAAAAAATGCATGAATTCTTGGCGAGAAAAGTCTTTGCTCGTGTGCTTATGGTCTAGTCTTTCAGCCTATTCTATGATTTTCTATTTGTTCCCACTTTAGTGGCGCACACATCCATCTTCTCCTCCATGAGTTCTAACATCTCGGTAATGAAGCTATCCCTGTATTGTCCATTTTGTTTGATAGATTGCTCCTCTCGCACCTAACGAGAGAGAAGAACTTGCCTATTTTGTGTTGTAACGGTTCTGGTCATGCAGGTTATTACTGTTCTTTTTAAATGAACTTCAGAGCCTGTGAAGGCTTTTGAGGGGAAGATCACATACATTGCCTTGACGTCTTAGAGATTCTTTGAGGGGTCCCTAAGCTTGTCCCAAAATAGGGGTTTGACAAATCCATATTTTTGACAATTGAGCGATTTCTGTATATAAAGGAAGGCTGAAAGTACGTAGGAAAAAACATTTACCCAAAAGGGATTGTATTTTAGAAATATATTATTTTATTCATTAAAAATGGGTCAAAAACAGGTACGAGACAAAAACAGAATATTTGTATAGTTTTGTTTGAATGCCTAAGAAGTATGGTTGTATTGTTTGTATATAGTGTAAATACCTGGGATAAAAATGAGCTATGTGCATGAAAAGTATGAACAGAGTCAAAAGGGAAAAAAACAACAAAAGCAGTAGTGGCTATGCTCTGTAAAGTTAAAACTATTTCACTATTAGAGTATTTTATTTTATTTTGATCGTTCTTGAGAAGAACATTTTGCTAAAGCATGATATTAATGCAATATGAAAAAGTAAAAAAACTGTATTTAGAGTTAGGAGAAGTCTGCAAAATTATCTTTAAAGTACGGTTACGTTTTATTTATTTTTTTCTTTTCTTTGTTTTGGGCTACCAAGAAAATTTTGCCAATGGTGCCAAGGTATGTGAATGCTATAATAGCTTAAGAAGAGAATTAAGTTAATTTGTTGCAGAACAGATAATCATACAGTGAAATACACACTAGCACTAAAGACCATAAGATCACAACTGGCAGAGGATCAATAGATCAATGAGGTACACAGTTTGTAGAGGGAGTCGTCGTGTTGAAGCAGAAAGCAGTTAAACCTCTCATGTCTCCACCGTCCCCACAGATAACTAAAACATTTACCATCACTGAATTGACCATAGATGCGTTTGAGATTTATTTTTGTTGTCATTGCAAATGGAATGTGACGAGTTTCTGAAGTATCTTGTCTGATCTTGAAGATTGTAAAAGGCAGCCTTGCCCATGGCGTCCCTATAAAGCAAATCCATGTTATTACTCTGTCACTGACAAAAAAGATTGAACTCACCTCTTTTAAAGCTCTGATTTATCCCTGTCGTAGTAATCCAGGGACCAGATTTTACTAATAAACGTTTTGATGAAAAACCCCTTGATCAAGGCTGCCAGGATTGAAATGAGACCTTGTATTCCAAAAGAACAAAGTTTTAAAAAGCCATGTGTAGCGAACTGTGCATGACTGGATTTCAAGCAGCTGAAAACACATTTGCAAACTGAGCAGTCACAGGTGCTGAAGCAGCGTTTGGAGTTGGCGTTCACCTCGATGCAGGGTCAGTGAGCTGAGGTGTACCAGAGGCATTTATAATTGTGAGACCTGCGATGTGTCTGTTGTGTGATCTGTGTAGGAACGATCTGAGAGAGAGGACACACGTGAGCTGCTGGTCTAAGAGGTGCCTGTCTGTTGCTGCCTGTAAATCTTATATCATATTCCCAGCAGAACTAGCAGAAAGTGTTTTCTGTATCCAAGTTACCACAACATGTGATTATTCAGCCAAGTGCCACTGAAAAACATGAGTCTTCTCGATCCATGTGTTGTCATGTTTGTTAAACGATTATTAGGCTCAATGGTTGTTTCGAAATTGTTTGACTGTTTTCCACTCATCTGATATGTCAACTTAATTTCCTGAGTGTTAATGTAGAAAGTGCCTATTCATATCCTGACAACACCGAGCTAATGTCCGAACGCATACGATGTACCTGAGGTCGTGAGGAATTCCAGAGAACATGGTCACCCACATTCTGTGCTGTATCTTCTACATGCACACGCACCGTCACCTTTCACTCACCGAAGCCACAATATGAAACAAATCCCCTGTTCACACCAGTATCAGTGCAGCACTCCAGCTTGTCAACATGCTACGTTTCTTCTTTTCTTTTCTGTTTTGTACTGGGACAGCTTGTTCAAATCACACTTAGAAATGCCACTACTGGGGTTTGTTGCCTTTGCGTTCATCCTCAAGTGTGTGGTTTGAATGCATAGCCAGTGTAATGTGGTGGCAAAGCGGAGAAGGATTTATTATGCTTGCATGGGTAAAATAGTTAACAGGGTGACAGAACTGCACCTAAAGCATGCTTATTTTCCTAGAATCGATAGTCAGATAGACTCGTTAAAAGAATTACTGTTCTGTAAAACAATGAGCGTTGGTTTGACGTGTCACAGAACTCCGAAAGACAGAGGGCATGTGACTGGAGGGCGCAAGCCAACGATCAAGACTCAGTCGCCACTGACGTTTTCATGGCAAAGCATGAGGACAGGATTGTTTTTTAGAGCAAGCTCTAACTTTTTAGACCTTCTTCCTTTGGTTTTTGATTCATTTAGATTAGATCAGTGTGCTCCCAACTTCAAATAGGAACAAATGGACAAGGTTGGAGATCGTTGTTACAGCACTGACACGTGATACACACATGCACAAGACACCACACATGTCAGCACACGCGCAGACATGTCGAGGTGTCAGATTCGCGGTATAGGACGCTGGGCGGCGAAGGCAGCACCGCTCTTCTCCGGGCTGAGGGACTGGTTCACCTCCCTTATGTATTTTACTCAGGGTGCCAAAATGGGGAGGAGGAAACAGAGCGCGACACGTGATTCACAGCAGAAGAAGCTGAGAAATCTTTCAGCGATGCTTTCTGGTGAAGAATCTAGGACAGACAGGTCCTCCACTGCGATACTGAAGTCTTTAAAATGAGTGAATATGAAGTATAATCCATTTCCTGTCAGTATCGCTGAACGTTACAGACACCGGTGGAGCCCTGGATAAAAGAGTCCAGTTATATATAGCTCATTAAGATAAATGATTTGACGTTCTCCTGTCGAATCCTCGTATAACTCTGGCCCGTTCTTTAGGCCTCTAATTCATCCAAGTGACAAAGTGTGGAGGGTGTTTAAGATTAAGAGCCAAATTATACAAAAAGTTCACCTGCAAATCTTGTTTTACTGCCATTTATGAATGGGATGACAGGTTCGCTGAAAGCTGGCTCTCTGCATTAGTATATCGCCGACTTCAAGATGTTCTGTGAACTGAGAATCTGCCTTTCCTCCTCTTCTTTTTCCCCCCCCACGCACCCACACCGGAGAAAGGCAGGCACATCAGGACAACAGAACCGAAAACCGTTTTACGACACAGAGCAATAAAGAACTATTTTGTGGAGAACCTATAGACCGAGTGAAGTTTCAAATGATTGGACACATGTAGTCGACTTACTCTTATGCAAATGCCAGTATTGCAAGACAAGCATTCAGTAGTTTATGGACAGCAATTATATGGCACCCTTTACTGAACTGCACGTTTTCATCAATTCCAAACCGAGAAGAAAAAAAACAGACCCTGCTTTGATAGAAAGTTCCGGGTCCTCGACACTTTGCATGTGAACTAGTGTTAGATCTATTTTCCTCTCCTCTATAGCTGTCTTTCTCTCTGTCTTTCCCTGTTATGTGACCCCCATTTTTCTCCGCTCCCAAACCCTAAAACCCTTAAAAACCTTCATCTCCTCTCGGTTCTCCCCATGTGTCTTTGCTTTCCCCCTTTTTCTTCCCTTCTCCTGTTTGTAAGTTTTATTTTTGTAATTGTGCATGTACAAGCGTCACTGACTCGATGGATATGTAAAAAAAAATTTAAAAAAAAAAAAGATTTCAGCTGCTGAAGCCATGCAAAACGTTTTGAATTGCCCTTAAAATATGAAAGATGTTTTCTGAATGCTTTATATTCTTTCTGCTGTAAAATAATAAAAAAATGAAAAAATTAAGAAAACTCGAGAACCAAGTTTGGAACGTCTTTTTGTTTCCTCCTTTACTAAGAACAAAAAAAACAAGTCGTGCTCTTTTCAGCTGCAGGTACATTTCAAGAAAAGACAAATAGCAGATTTGTACAATATAGCTTTTAATTCCATTCAGCATACGGTGCTGTTTAACAAGGACTTTGTACACAAGTATAGTTTCAAACAACGTAAAGGTGAAATTAAATCATTCTTAACTCCTCACACAATATGTCTCAGTCTTTCCTACCTATATGTGTGTGTGAGTACATGTACTAGGCGTGTACAAACAGGCATGATGTGGATTTTGGCTGCATTAGTTTGTTTGAGCCCTGTCTCTTGTGTGGAGCATTAACGCCCAGTTTTAAACACAATATTTCCAGAAGCACTCAGAATTCCCTGCTCTCTTCCTGAACTGCTTCCGGATCCCAAACACGTGGCTGAATGGATTCAGGAGACTTTGTTTCTCCAGTAGAACCTGAAAGAGTTCAGATGAACATTTTACTCACAACTGTTTTATTTTGACATTGGTGATGTTTGTAGAAAACCCACCTCTCTCTTCATTCCTCTGGGAAACAGGCCTGTTGTTCTCCCACCTGAGAGAACGTGAAACACAACATTATGAGCTGGATGTGCACGTGAGGCATGAAGAGACGTGGTAGGATAACGGTTGAAGACGTAAAGACTGTAAATACCTCCAACTGAACACTGATGTTTGATCTCATGCATGTTTCTTACCGTCTCTGTTCATCTCCCCAGATATGAGGGTGGAATATCTGAGACCAGCTCCGTCCTGAGGGGGGAAGTTTTGCTCGGAGAGAGAGAGATCATCCAGGGTGGCGACTCCTCGGTCCTCTAATGATGCTGAGGACGACGGGAAAAACATGAGACACAGGGTATGCATCCAATGCTTTAACACTTTTGTCATTATAATAACTGTTATTTGAAAAGAGAGCTGACATCTGTAATGTTTTAGGCAGAGAAATCCAGCATTTATGGTCCAGATGGGAGCTGAGACTCAGGATATGTGAATTGGGGAAGTTTCATTTACTAAAATGTTTGATCAAGATATTGAATTAGTAAATAACAGGTGGAATGGAGGAGTTACTCTCCACTTACCAGGACCTGGATAGGGCATCTCAGCAGATTCTGTGATGGGGTGGCCCAGCATCGGGCCGGAGGCGGCGAGCAGGAAGGCCCAGGACAGGAGATAGTTACACTTCATGGTTCGTTGCTGTTGGAAGTCTGACTCTTCTGGAGGTCGCCAGGCGGAAGAAAAGACTTGTCCATGCTCTGCTGGTTCCAACTGGGTTATATAGTTTGAGCTGTAGCCTCTCCCCCCTCCTCTTCCCTTTGACTGGCCACCACAGCCATCAGCAGCATCCACAGTCCCATCCTGTCTATCTACCAGTCATAAATCAGCAGGCAGTCACAGGTGAATTATAGGATCAATAAAAAAACAAGTGCCGGGGCCCATGCTTCAAGGGCACGGTCATGTTTTACCAGCTCTTCAGCTTGATTGACTCTTTTCACTGACTTTGTAAACGCTGGTGTTTCTGATGTCACTCTCCGCGGCGTCCCTCAGGGGAGCAGGTGGGGAAACCGCCGCCAAATGACTAATGTTTTTTCGCGCCACCAGTTCATTAAACTCTCGGGCCGTTTGAATCGACTCGACTCAAAGAAAATCTCCTCGACAGGAGCTGCATACAAAGCAGGAAGAACTAATAAAACCATGTAATTACTTGCGCAGAGGTGCCGCGGAAATGCTAAAACGTTCAAGGCCTGGTCGTCCGTAAGGCGTCTGACATTTTAAGGCAGCGGAAGATTTTCAACGGGTCACTGAGTCAGGTTGATTCATGCACATTATTCAGAGGCCTTGTTCTGGGGAGATGTTATATTTGTGCTTTCACTTCTTTGTTGTCGTGCAGTAAAACTCTCCTGTCGGTTGGAAGAAAGGGGGACAGGTGGAGACAGATATTTACAAAGCCACACTTTGCACCTCTGTATGTAATTTGTATATTTATGACACGTGTGACGTCAAGGTTCGGTGTCTTGTATGTTAATGATCCCCGATGTAACGACAGTGACATTTAATTTTACAGTCAGAAGGCCAGACTCTCCATTAGGTGATGCTGTATATCATGAAAACCCATTAAGATTTATGTTCTTGATTAATAGGCAAGGACCCGCTGCCGATCCCAGGTTATTCAGCCCCTAAAATAAATGTTGTCTCTTCCGTGTTTAAGCCTCATGCTGCTCCAGGAGAGAAGATTGATTCCTTTGTGGCCTCAGGTAGAAGGATATGAGTTAAAGGTCTTGTTGCATGCGTGTGCCGTTGATTTCTTTGGGCTGTTATGCAGAAAATTTGACGTTATAATTTTTGTTGTTTCTGTTTTGTGTTTTTGAAAATTTTAAGTCTGCACAGTCTGATAAAATAGACAAAAATGACCTTTGTGCAGTCGTCTGCCACCTTGACGTCAAGGACTCATCACCCAAGAAGGTCCATGAGGACGGGGGGGCCCATTCATCATTCCTAAAAATATTTAAACACATTTTAAAATCCTTTTCTTGAAGTAATAAAAACAAATGAATACATCTCCTTAAAGTAAATATTCTCTTGATGTTTTAAAGCAATATATCAATGGAAAAACATGATATTATAAATGAACTTCTGCTTCTTAAATGTTAAATGTAAATGTGACCAACTGTTAAAACACACTTGAATAACAAAGCAAAAGACATAAATGTGAGAAATAGTCCTGTTTAGATTCCTGCAGCGTTTACATATAAGCAGCATCGTCTTGTTGAAGGTCTCTGACCGAAGTGTTGCTTGGTCTGACTGGATCTCAGCTGGTGGGTGGTTTAAAACATAGAATACATTGTGCTCTGTAAGTGCTTCATTGGTTTTGCAAAAAAAAAAAATTCTCTATATGAAAACAAGACTGCAGCTGTCAGATGAAAATAAAACATATACTTTTTTCTGTTAAAGGTTCAATGTGTAAGATTTAGGTGAAAGATCTATTGGCAGAAACTGAATATAAAATAATCCTAGCGATGTTTTCACAAGTGTGTTTCATCTAAATTGTAAGAATGTTTTTTTCTTTACCCTAGAATGAGCCCTTTATATACAAATACTTTATATTTGCCTCAGGAGCAGGTCCTCTCTACGGAGGCCGCCATGTTTTTTAACAGTAGCACAAACTGTACAAACTATATCCTTTTGATTTTTTTATGACAAAAAACTGACTGAAGGCTTCCACAGGTTCTCTGTCATGTTTGGAAGGGGAGGGTGAGGTTAGAGCTCTTTAGCTGCAACATGCAACTTCACCACTAGATGTCACTAAATTCTACACATTGAACCTTTAAATTTACATATGTATATTTTACAAAATATTAGTTAAACATGTTTAATCAATTAAGCAGATGTCTTCCAAAGCAAAAACCCTTTAGCACACTTTGTTTTGCTTTTGCTGGTTCTATCCCTTCAGCAAGAAAACACAAGGGAAAAAAAATGGAAATGGAAACAAAGGTACATTTTAAGTTTGGAGGATATTCGACTTTTTACAAATGTTGAAGCCTCACTGAGATTTTGCATCCTCATCACATTAAAGAATAATTTTATAATGGAACAATAATTTTCATCTTAATTAATATGTGCAATAGCAATGTGACATTTGTGGAACAGCCTGATATGCAATACACACCAGTCATGATTCTATGACAGTAACGTATTTGCTCAGAGTTCATCACTTGGTATGTTCTCTGAACTTCGCAGGATCCATAAAACCTAAAGTTACACATTAAACCCAACAACTGTAATCAGTCACTCATCATTTCCAGCCAGCAGGGGGCAACATTACATGTAAAACCAAAGCAACACGTGCAAAATGATCCTGAAACAAATTCGTATTGTTCCTCCTTCATCTTCATCTTCATCAGTCTTCAAACTGACAGAGAACAAATCACATCTGCAGCTCAACAACAGTCACTGACATCACCACTGACAGTCCTGAGAGAAGTGACACTTTTCATATTATTTCTGATAAATGACCGAGAACCTTTTATTCTCATGTCTATCAGAAGGTTCCAGGTTCTTCTCTTGGATTCAGCTGCAGAAAACGGTTCACACGTGTTTTGAAAGTATTTTCCTTCTTGATCTACTCAGTTCTTACGTTCATTTAATTCACAGAGTCTATAACTTCACTGTGTTAGTTTGGAAAATCCATCTTCATCTGAGCAACTGGAACTTTTGACCAGTAAGGAGCTGCGTTCAACAACTGTTGGACAATCTGCCACTGAATAAGCGCACCCACAGCGTGTGTGTGTGTGTGTGTGTGTGTGTGTGTGTAAACCGTAGCCTACAATATCAGAGATTAAATCTTAAGTGTGCTTAAGCATATGGACTGATGTCACCTGTTGAAGGCGGCAGGTGAAATTTGTATTTTTTTTATTTATCTGTCAGTGCTATTTAAATAAAGTTTATTAGTATTATTACTACTAATGCTGTTATTATTTTTTTGTCGTTGTTGTTGTTGTTATCTATTTTCCAAAGGTTCAATGGAGCCAATGAAAGTGTTGCATTTCTTTCTTTTTTTTAAATCTTAAACTGTATTCAGGGTGTGTTTGGTTTGTACTCGTGATGTGAGTCCAGCAGGATGGTTGTGAGTTTCCCGGGGGACCGTGAAGGCAGCAGCTGCGGAACAGGAGCCGTGAGGACGCAGCGCCAGACGGACGAAGTGTGTCCGTGCCGACTTCCGTCCTCCTGCAGATCTTTGTTTCACAGCAGCGACTGAAACATCAGCAAAGTTCAGACGAAGGAAACAGTCCGAGAAGTTTGATTGAGGAGAATTGACTCAGTGATACAGAGGAGGAAGAAGAAGGAGGAGGAGGAGGGAAAGTGTGACTAAGGACGATACAGAGACTGACGCCTGTTGAATAGTGTGTGTGTGTGTGTGTGTGTGT